CAGCAGGAAGTGGCTGATGAAAAGCTTCAAACCTTCCCGCAGCATTCCTAGTTTGGGAATTCCTGAAATCCTATCAAAGGCAAAGAGGGAAAAATAGAAAAAAAACCCAGAGGGTTTTAGGTTCAGTGTTGGTTCACTCACACAGTGAGGGCGTGGCCCTCCTCCTGTGTTTAGCCTTCTAATTGCACCAGGGCTGTTTGAAGGAGGCGTCGTGAAGCTCACCTCCCAAAGATGGAGGCCACATCCTCTGGGTCACACTCCTTCAGTAGTTTGGTCAGTAACTGACGGAGAAAACGCACGGTGGGCTTATCTAGTTCTCCAAACTCTATGACCTACACAGAGAGGAAGAAGGTGAACACACACACACACACACACACACACCCTGGAACACGACACAACACTGTCTCAGAGCAGGGCGTCTCACCTTGAGTATGGACAGTGAGAGACACTGTCTCTGCAGGACGAAGGTGAGCAGCTGCACCAGGTTGTTGAAGGGGCTGATGGGAAGGTTGGACAGATCCTTCAACTTGTCCCAGAGGCTGAACTGGAAGGTCATCTACAAACGACAAGGGGTGAACGTGAGTGGACGGGAACACACGGAGGAGGAGGAGGAACACCTCTAATCCCAACCCAGTGGACATGTGAAAAGCAAACATTCCCACAGGTGTCTCTGTCCTCGGGACAATAGTCATCAGTTTGTTGGTCCTGGAACAGGAGGAAATGAGGCCCCGCCCCCACTGTTTGTCATCACTGTTTAGGTCAAATGATATCAGAGGTGAGAGGGATTCTCACAGTGCAGAGGTCAACTGCAGGTCACACTGATCAAAAGACTGGGGGCGGGGGGTCTCTCTCACACACACACACACACAGGTTTTTGTGTTTTGTGAGCACTTCACATGAACGTGTGTATTCTAACTTTGATTACATTACATATACAGTAGAATTCAATCCAAATTAGGATTAAGATTACACTTAATCCTAATTTGGATTGAATTCATGTCAGTTGTTGACATTTTTCTTTAAGGGTATCATTTGATTTGGACAATTAGGAATTATTTTGATTTGGCCGTTTAAATTATTATTTCATTAAGATTAAAGATCGGAGATTACAGATTACAGATTAAATCTGCCTTTGTTTGTCAGAGTGAACCAACAGCTGTAACCATGGTAAATGAGTTTAAAGATCCCCGTGGAACTTTGTTTTCTTCTTCTGTCTACGTCAGACACGGTACCTGGAAGCGTCGGTCGTGGGAGCAGAACTTTTCTCCCAGTACGGCGTAGAAGGCGTTGAAGGTTTTCTCCTGCAGACAGCAGTCCATCAGGACATGGATGATCTCCCTCTCCTGCTTGTCCTTCAGACCCATCCTTCACAAACAACAAACGTCAGCTGAGGAACTCCAACCAACAACCAACCACCAACAACACCAGGCGTCAGAGGACCAACCTCAGCAGCTTCTCGAAGGCGTCCAGATAATCTTCACTGGTCATGAGGACACAGAAGATGTTCCTTCTGACCTCGGTGTTCATTCGCTGTTTCCTCGCCAGCTCCAAAACCTTCGTACTGAACTAGAGACCGTGAGTGAGAAGGACTGTTCAGTTACTACTGCAGGACTACTAGAACTGTTTAACTGAAAATGTTTCACCAGATTTTCAGAAATAAAAAAGATGAAAATAAAACAGGGTGACAAAGTTAAATGATGCTGCAGTCACCACAGACACCACACAGTGGCGCTCTCACCTGTCCTCCGACCGAGCTCTGTTTTGTTGCCATGTCTCCTGGTTCACCGATCATAGGCGCGCCGCTCCACGAGGAGCCCACGATCCACCAACGACCGACTTGATCTGCAGCCAGGAGATTCTCCAGGGAGACTCTGAGTTTCACGTCAGCGCCCCCTGCAGTCCGGCTGATCTGGGTTTTACACCAACAACAGTAATAAAGTATGTGAGGAGAACATCTGCAGTGATGAGAAGTCGGCCTGTGTAAACTGTACTCTGGAGCCACCTAGTGGAGATGCAGAGATATTGGCGTGTCGGTGCAGACCAGTCATAACCTACCAGACTCCTCTGTAACCTCCTCAGCTTCTCCACAGGCTCGGGGTCGTAGCCTGGGATTTTCCGCATGTCATTGTTCTTCAAAGCCAACATGGTTTCCAACATGAAGCGCACCTGAGGACGAGGTCACAGAGATCAGCCTCCAGAGCAGAAGATCAACGACACAGTGCAGCGGGTTTCCTCCTCACCCTGGTTTGATCCTTGAACTTTGAGCCTGAATCCGTGGCCTTGCGCTGGGCGTCAGTGATGAGCTCCTTCAACGACACAGCATCGTCCTTTCTCAGGGCGAAGCCCACGTTTCTCAGCACAAACAGCACCAACTCGATGTCCTTCTCGGAGAAAGCTCCGACTAAAAGTTTGAGGATGTCAAAGATGAGGAGCGAGTGGACGACCTGGAAGTTGTACAGGTGAGCGACGATGGCCACCAGGTTGTCACACTCCTTTCCTTCACAACGGTTTTTGTACAACTGGTCAAACTGTCGCACAACGGTCTCCAGAAAATGAGCCCCCACCTGCGAAACAAGTCTGATGAAAACCAGCTGTGTACCAGGATGTTGGTCAACACTGAGACCAGGATGATTTCAAATCAAACTAATCACATTTCTGAATAACAATAACATTTTAGTCCTCACCTCCAAGCCCACAGTGTGATGGAGGACGCTGACCAGCAGGGTGTGCTCCATCAACAGTCTGTCGGGCATCAGTGTGGGCGTGACGCAGGCGGCCAACAGGACCTCCGTCAGGGTGTGGCTCATGTCCTTCCTGCTGCAGCTCATGTACAGCTCCTCCAGCTGACCACTGATGGACGCCATGTTGGCTTCACTCAGCCTGGAGAGTCATGGAGAGTCATGGAGAGTCATGGAGAGTCATGGAGAGTCAGGGTTAGTAACTTCAGATCCAGAGTTTGTCATAAATGATTTACAGACATCAACAGTGGAGTTCCGACTGTAACAGTTCCGACTGTAACAGTTCCGACTGTAACAGTTCCGACTGTGGAACCTGAACTCTTGTGCTGCTTCATCCTGGTCACAGTAACTGAGGCCAGTTTAAACACGGTCTCTGACAGGAAGTCTCCACAGACAGTCAGGATCATTGATACGTGATCATTGATCGATTGATCAGGTCTTACCTGTTCACCAGGCCTTTCACATTCCTCGTTAACTTCTCCAGCTCAGCTCTGCGTTTGTCATCGCCCCCGCTACGCAGCTGAGGTGGTACGTACCTCCCAGTGGTGGAGGAGAGCTACAGCAGCGGAGAAAAAAACAACACCTGATTCAAAGGTGTACGTACAACGGTAGACAGTGGAGGTTTGGGGTGGTTTACTTACTGACTAGTCACAGATCAACCCAGCAGTAGGTTGTTGGACAATTCTCTCACAGTTTAAATCCTAACCTTGATGTAAGATGAATTCATAACTTCTACCTGTCTCTGTGACATGTTCTTAGACTCCGTAAAAATACTGAACTCACAGAGTCAACCTTGGACGCTGTCCTACTGTCAGGAATGGCCGTTTCCTGCTCCTCTCCTGGTTCCTCCCCCTCGTCAACCATTTCCTCTTCCTCTTCCTCTTCATCATCATCATCATCATCATCATCCATGGATGCTATGTTTTCATCATTGTCTTCATCACTGTCTTCACCAGCGTCCTCCTCTCCAGCTCCATCGTGCTCATCTGAGAGCTGAGAGTCTTCCTCACCAAGTTTCTCAAACTTCTCTTTGGCCACGTCCATGTCCATGTGGTCATCATGGAACACAGCTCCAGCCGAGGAGCCCGAGTCCAGCAGTCCCAGGATGTAATCCAACCCATCAGCCACAAAGGACTGTGGGATATTTTTCTTGTTTTTTCTTTTGTTTAATCCCAGGCAGCGCTCCAGCTTCTTTATTTCTCGCTCCTCTTCTTCGTTTGCCTCCAGTAAAGCCATTTTTCTTGACTGTTGGAGTCGATCTACCTTCTGTCTTTTCTCTGAGGGCTGTGGTGTTTTGGTCTTGACTGCTTTCTCAGCACTAGCAGTCTTTGTCATGTGTGACTCTTGCTGATCTACGTTCCCAATCTTCTTCTTTTTCTTCTTCTGCACCTGTGGCTCAGTTCCCTCTGTCTTTTCGCCATCACCTGATGGTAAAGTAAGACTTTTATTGCCTTCATAACTGCCTTTCATTCGGGCTTTTTTCAGCTTTCTCTTCTCCTTGCGAAGCTCCTTTCTGCTTTTCTTTTTAACGTAACTCAAACCTCGGTCATATCGTGCTTCGTCTTCTTCGCCACATTTGTTTTTAACAAAATCATCCACTGCTGCCATGTACTTCTGCAACACCGCGTTTCCCTTCTGCTTCTTTTTCTTGCTGTTTTGCTTCCATTTCGCCTTCATCTCTTTTGTTTATATTCCAGGTATAGACTACAGACGTTAGCCCTTACGATTTTAACGAGACAATTTCAATAAAGGTCTGAAATAACCAAAAATATACACCAAAATAAAGGTAAATCCCATCCAACCAAGGAATTAAAACAGGACACATGTAGCTCCATGAGGATCAATGTCGTCTTCATTCACTTCCGGGTTAGGCTCCCAAGTCCGACGCTAAATGATGATGTCATTTATTTGTGGGCGGTCATTTTTCCTTTTTTCTTTTCAGAAGGGAGCGGGTTTTTCTCTCACCGTCTGAACTGTCTTTAAAGCAGCAGTCGGGCTTTCACTTCGCAGAGCAGAGAAATACTTTTGTTTTTTACGCATAAATATTCCGTTGCTTTGACATTAGCATGTGGCGGGTCTGTAGTGTTTTTATTTCGTATTTTGCAACATGAAGAATGGAAGAAGACGATGTGACAATCAGAGAGCAGAATTTCCACAGCCAAGTTCGGGAGTACATCGTAAGTAACGTACGAAGAGACGGTTAGCCGAGGCTAACGGGCTAACAACGTCCTCCACTGTACAGTGTCTGTATAGCTTTAGCTCCAGCACAGGTTACTCGGCTAAGATTGTGTCTGTCACCGTGGTTTAATTTGTAGCACTAATGAAACTATTGCTTAGCGGTTAATTCTCGCTCACAGCGGGTAGACGCGCTAATTAAAGTTAGCATGGCATTGACATTAGCTGTCAAAGTACAGTCCGTTTGTTTACATCGGCGAACAACGTCGTTTTAATTGTGCTGTCTGATGTCGCCTCGTTTCTGGTCACATGACACGGACACAGCCTGTGGTGTTTGATGACTTTTCTTCACAGTGTTTCTGTCGTGTCCGTCAGTGTCATTGTACAGGAGGCAGCAGCGGTGGGTGTTTAACTCACATAGACCTGGTGTAAAGATACACACTGATCACAGTTACAACTATAAACTAAACAGTTTCTTTTCTTTTCCGTTCTTCGTTGTCCACAGCTGGTGTTTAACCATGTCACACTGTTGTGTCCTGGATGAACACTCGTGGTTCTAGTCATGTAGTTATCATCTTATATGAACAGACCTCACAGAGCTGTTGACCTTGGCAGTGAACTGAGTCCAGTTTGGCTGTGAACCTGAGATGTTCTGGTTTGAAACATGTCACACACAGGTCTTGGTAATGAGCTCATTACTACATGTGTCAAACACAGACACCAAACACTGTGTATTAGTGTGTGCAGTGTAAGAACCCCGTCACCACCTGTAATTCACACTCTGACAGACTCAAAGGTCAAAGGTTGAAGGGGGAGGGACAACAAACAAAACATTTTTTTTGCCGGTAGACCATAGAAGTCCAGTAGAAACCTGGGTCAGAACCGGCAGCTTCACTGGGATGAAGCCTTTCAACAGTTTTTAGCACCAGATGGAGCAGGAGTGACGACAACGCCAACTCTGAGGTGGAACTTCTTCATTTTGAAGTTGAAACCTTTTCTTTCAAACAGGATTTTAAAAGGGTTGGTGTTAGTTTCTGGTTGAAACGCTGGGTGACCTGTAGTGACTGCGTCTGATTCATCAAGACCCATGTGGAATGTAGAGAGTATCAGGTGTCCGTCACACTGAAGGGATCCGCTCTCATCTTCAGCTGGTACCGTTTCTGCCCAGAGCCTGTCTTCACTGGACTCCCAGTCTTAGATCCATGTGCATCATGTTCAAATGACCGGCTGTCATTTAATCTGAATGTTAGCGCTGAGTCAGCGTTGATCCGCCCAGGCTAGCCGTGTTCCTGTGCTACTCCTCATGTTAACAGCTCTCTGAGCTCCACTGCTAATTCTCTCAGACAGAAGCTTCCGGGAGGTAATAATAAGTACGTACTTGAAGAGGTTTGTTCCTTAAGCTCATGGTCAAGTACTGTAACTGCGTGCTGAGTGGGCCTGGTGTCGGGCTGAGTCATTTTAGATCCCACCTCGGCCATAATGACTTTTGCAATCTCACCAGGGTGTAAAGTGCTGAAGTGTGTGCTTCTAACATGAGTTATCTGCAGGTCACCGTCACAGTAGAAGGAGGAATGTGGAGGATGATCTTACCGTAAGATCGTCTGGCCACTTTGGTGCCCGCTGGTACTGCATAAATTCTTTTCATCAGTGATGTTGGTACCATGTTACAGGGACAAACTCAGGGTTCAGACACAGAAAGTCTGAAAGTTACATTTCTAAAAAAAAAGGTTTTCAATGAAAAACCTTACATTTGGCGATGGAGACGTTGGACAGACTGTATGAGCCCATGTTTGGTCGTGTGAATCCTGATCACAGCTCAGTCCTGACTCTTTCTTCTCCTGCTGTTTCAGATCTGTTTCCTCCTGTTTGCAGTCCTCTACATTGTGTCCTACGTCATCATAACCAGATACAAGAGAAAGAGCGGTAAATGTTCCAAGCTTTGATGTCAGAGCCAGTGATGCCTGTCCAGTCCTAGGAAACTCTGTTCCTCTGTTTCTGACTAACCAGCCTTGTCTTTCTTCACAGATGAACATGAGGATGAAGATGCTGTCGTCAACAGAATATCGTGAGTAAACCGTTGTTTTTTAAATTAAAAATCATCATTAATGAAATACAATGTCTCATCACAAGGTAGTGGACTTGTTGTTGAGAAACCTAAAAATACTATCTGATAATAAGTCAAAATAGTTGTAATTATTGAACATGAATTCATCTATAAAGTCAAAATAGTTGTAATTATTGAACAAGAATTCATCTATAAGTGGTGAGTGGTTATAATAGAGGTTAAAAAAACACTAGTGTTAAAAGTTAAATCCTGAAGTATATTAATATCACTGTGTGTGTTTCTATTTGCAGGTTGTACTTGTGCACCTTCACCCTGGCAGTGTCAGGTGGCGCTGTCTTTCTACTGCCTTTCTCAATCATCAGTAGCGAGATCCTCCTGTCATTCCCCCAAAACTATTACATTCAGTGGCTCAACGGCTCCCTCATCCACGGTCAGTGGCTCTGCACTCCATCTGCTCTTTTCCGTTTCATTAGACCAATCATCCACCAGAGGGCAGCAGAGCCTTAGATATTTCCTTGGTAGCTAGGAGTGTGTTCGAACGTCACTGTAGAACTGGATCAATACAAATGAACCGGTCTGTGGACATTTGTGACGTGGACTGTCTGTCTTCTGCAGGTCTGTGGAATCTGGTGTCCCTGTTCTCCAACCTCTGTCTCTTCATCCTGATGCCATTTGCATATTTCTTCCTGGAGTCTGAGGGATTCGCAGGCTCCAAAAAGGTACGTCTGGTTTTTATTTGAAAAGCATCAATCTGGAGAACGAGAGGCCGAAAGACGGAAGATTTGAATTGGAGTGATTTGAGACGGTCATTAAATCTGGACCAGAGATCACTCCCCCCCCCCTGATCACTGCCCCCTCCCTCCCTGATCCCTGCCCCCTCCCTGACTGATCACTGCCCCCTCCCTGCCTCATGTGACTGACCAGAACCTCCAGGGCAGAAAGCTCATTAACGGTGTCTCTGGTCTTCGCCCAGCGTCACGTCCTAACAAACCCTTTCAATCAGGTCGACGGCTGCAAACGCTTCAACACCACTGCATCGGCCCCCCCTGATTTAAAGCCTGATTCCAGCTCTCTCCCCCCTAAAATAAAACTTCAAAAGGACAGACTAATAATCAAGTTGTAAGGCTCAGTGAACTTCCTTGTTTAATTGATTACTGATGCCTTCTCCCCCCCCCCGAGGCTGGGGGCGTGTGGTGCCATAAAGTTCACGCAAC